AGGTCTGAAGACGTCACTCCGCTGGCGTTGAAGACAGGAAGGGGCCGCGGCCAGGGGTGTCTCAGCCAGAAGTGCAGGGAAACGATGCTCCCCAGAACCCCACGGGGAGTCCCGCCCTTGCCCGCACCTGATCCCTGACGGGCGAGACGCCTCTCAGACCTGTGCCCTCTAGAAACTCATGATGCTAAATTCCTATTGTTTTAAAGCACTGAATTCCGGTAATCGGGACAGCGACAATACGAGACGGAAGTAGCGTATTCCCGTGGGAGCGCCAGGGACACCGGACGCGGAGGGAACGAAGTCAGAGGTCCGACTGGGACCCGGATCCGGTGGCAGGGAGACGACCCCGAGCCTCCTACCCTCAAGGCCTCGCTGGCTGTTTCGGTGACGCCAGTGAAGCCGATGGCCTGGAGGAAGCCGTTTCAGAAACGCCGAAGCGAGGTTTCCACGGGCAGATGCTAAACGAGCACTGAGCTCCATCTAGAATGTTCTGACTGTCCTCCAACGTCTCCCCCAGCGGATGGATTCTAGCTTTGTCTCTTGGGTCAAATCACTCCTTGTTAATGAACTGTTTTCAAAAGATATGTCCTCCACTCTCTGCTGAGGCTGATTATCTGATAAAACTCAGAAAAACCACTAACAGTGTTCTTGGCATTTAATCTGCAACTTCCGCCAGGCCCATTTGTAGGACCGAGTGGGTCCACTGGACAGACCTGATGTTATCTTGTCAAAAACAAGTTTTTTGTTTAAACGCATAGAACAGGTTAGCGCAAATTATCATATGGTTGATTTCAGGTGCAAGGACAATCAAACTACCAAATTCAAGTTACAGTAAAAAACTTTAAGACTTTAGATAGATAGACAGATAGAGAGATAGATAGACAGACAGATAGATGATGATGGATAGATGATGATCGATAGATGATAGATGATAAATAGATGACAGATGACATCTACGCATGTATTTATGCATGTGTGCGTATGTGTACACGTGGCTACGCATCTCTTTTTGAAGGAAATCGTTAGCTTTTTGCTCAGGTCTCAGGCCACCTCTACGCAGATCACTGGGGCTGCCGGTGACCAGCACGGGTACCCTTGAGTTTCCTCAGCAACTGCAGAGCGTCTGTCAGCTCATCGCGACACAAATCCGTGAGTGCTTTTCTGAGGCCATCTCTACCCACGTCTAGTCACCCTCGATTTCGCCTCAGATAGAAACCGAACCGCACATGCGTGTCTCAGAGTCTGGCACCGCTCGGCCAGCCAGAAGGAAACGCGTGGGCGAACGCAAGACCAGCGAAGGGTCAGAGATGCGCATCCCCTCGGCGGCTCGGCCGAAGCAGGCTACACGCCAGGAGGACCACGGAGCGGGCGGTGTGTGCGGTGACGCCGCCATTGACCCAGTCTACACGGCGGACGAGCAGAGGTGGCAGCTGCGGCTCTCGCTGGGCTGTGCGTGAGCCCCTCCCACGGCCTCGGCCATGTCCAGCCAGTGGACTGGAGGCCAGCTGGTGAGCGCTGGGCGGTCCGCACGCGCCTCTCCCCCGGAACGGCCCCAGAGGCTGAGGCTGTCCGTCCATCCGTCTGTTTCCTCCGCACACTGAGCTCCCAGAACCAGTGCCTCGTGTGTGCCTCACCGATGACCTGGGAAAGCCGCGAGGGCAGAGGGCATTCATTCCCGCTCAGCGAACGAGGACATGAGAACAGACACGCGGGCTGTCTTGCCCCGGTCCGGGTCGTGAGCCTGCGATGTACCCAGAATTGGAACACGCGTCTCTGGTGACGTGGACCTGAGTTGATAATGAACTCTATGACCACAGGCCTAGAAACCGACATGATTTTTAGCTTCTTCGTCTACATACGAATGGGAGGAACATGCTGTATCACTTGATTTTTATACTTTTTCAACCGCCTATTATTTCTCGGTATGAAGAGGGGTGGGATTACGGCATTTCCAGGCGAGCTCTACTTCTCGTGTTCAGTAGTAGTAGCTTTCGAGTCTCAGTCTTTCTCAAAATCCAGCAACGATATCGTTCCTCTCTCGCACCAGGATTCAGAGACCAGAGAATGTGTTTGAAAAAGCCCGTTACCACAAACCCTTCACGTTCGTCTCTAATGTGTAAGGAATATGTAAATGTTATGCAGGCATGAAACATACATGTGGCAGCTCTTTTTAAGTCATATCTGATCAGACATTTCTCCAGTAATTACTGTGCCTCTTAGTGGGGAATATTTGTGCAAAACCAGCCTCCCTAGTAGGAGAGAGGCCGCAGCAATCAACTAATCATCCTTTATTCAGAAGGCCCTGCCTCTGTGTAAGACGTCTGGCCGGTTATTAAGGGAGACATGAAGAAGCAAAGGCGTTAATTATTGGATTTCGGGTGGGGAGCTACGTACCACGTGTTTATTTCCACAGATGAGGCTCTGAGACCGAAAGGTAAGTAACCACCTGACGTTCCGGGCGTGAACTCCGGCTGGAGGGGACATCGGAGCCTGTGTCCCCAAAAGCTGCAGGCTCCCGCCCTTCCCCTATGTACTCAGGATATTTCCAAAAGTACCCAAACAGTTCCTTCTGACCGAGACGAGAAAGCTTCAACCATGGCCCGCACTTGAGGGACAGAGCAGTGAACGTCTGTGAAAACGCGAGGCGGGGGCATGGAATGGAGCTGGGGCAGACGCACGCGCTTCTGCCTGCGATGGGTGTCGCTCCCCGGAGCGCGGGGGATACTTACGCGACTTCTTGGTGGTGATGTTAACTGGGGGGCTCGCGGGCCCGGCCCCACCGGTGTTGTAGGCTCTGACGGCGGCGAAGTAGACGGTGTTCGCCTTCAGCCCCGTGATGGTCTTGCTCGTGACATTCCCACTGACGCGGATCTTACCGACCATGGGGTCCCTGGCGCCATCTGTCCAGTATAGGACCTGGTCATTCAAACAGAGCGAACGGTCACGGTCCCCCCACAGCCGTCAAGCACAGCGGGGTAGGGAAGGAGACGGGAGCGTAAACGGCAGGATTATCTTCGGATTCAGTCGGCTGTGCAACAGCAACCAACCGAGTCCGGTATTTATAGGGAGGGCCTACAAAATACAAACTCGCAGTGGAAATTAGAGAACCCGGGTGTCTTAGATGACCCAAATAAAATAGTCCACGAGCTAGCTAGAGTCTGTCGGCTTTAACAAGGGGTAGGTGATAAGTCAGACCAAATCAAGATTCCGGCCATCGGGTGAGGGCTTCAGGTGACCTGTTTTGCTACTGACGCCCCCCGGGGTGCTCTGAATGGCAGTTCGCCAGTCCTCCAGCTCGTACCGGGCCGCTCGGGCGCATCGGCACTGTGTTAGGCCCCTTGAGAGGGGAGAATGAAGGGTGGGACCTGCCTTCGAGCCCCTGAAATCTAGTTACGAGGTTGGACTCTATAAACAGGTGAGAAGAGCACAGGGTGCGTGCAAGGGCGGGATGTAGGAAAACGGCGCTGTAAACGTCCGGAGAAACGGCCTTCGGCAGCAATGGAAGGGGACTTCAGAGAGTCGGGAGACCAGGGACCAGCGCCGAGAAGCAAGCGGGGTTCAGGGAGCTGGGGCCGGAGGCGCTCTGCGCTGACCGGGGCGGAGACACCTGTCACTGAGTACGGCTTTCTGTTTGGACCACAGGCCTCGTGTAAAATGGGGAAAAAAAGAAAAAAAAAAACAGCGCGAGGCAAAATTAAGGCGATCTGGAACCGCGCTTTAATTCTAAGCGCAAAGCTATCCATGTCACCCGATGAGACTCGTCCCTTAACTTTGTGAGGGCGAAGACCCTATGCAGGCCGTGACTGACAGATTTAGGAGAGTTCATCGCCTAACGGCCTTTCCCAAGCTGACCTTTCGAGCCGCGCTCCTGGTCAGAGGGGTCCCCCGTGAATTCCTCCAGGGGCGTCAGGTCGACAAGGGTCAGACGCGCCCCTTTCCCCGAGAAGCCAGCGTGGTCGCCCTCTGAAGGAGCAAGTGTGGTCCTGACCCGATCACCTTTTCAATGCGACGCTTCGCTGACCGGCTTCAGATCCCCTGGCAGGTCCCCTCCGCTCCCTGCTCGGCAGCGTTAGGCCCGCACTGTGACCCGCCAGGGGCTGGGCCGGCCGCACAGGGGGCCGCACAGTGGCCGGCCGGCCAGCGAGCAGGCGCGCGGGGACAGGGGCGGTCGCGTGCCCTACCTCATAGCCCAGCACGCGGCCCGTGCTCCTGTTCCAGGCGATGGCGTTCCACGACACCTCCACCTCCGAAGCGGAAAAGCTCTGGACGGAGGTTCCCCGCGGGGCCAGCTGAGGCTCTGCCGGCCAGAGAAAGACACGGCCGCCCTCAGCGCCGGGCGCCCGGAGAGGGACGCGGGGCGCACGGGCCGCCACTCACCGTCCTCGCCGGAGTAGACGATGGCCACGGCGCTCAGAGCCCCGTCCCCTTCCGCGTTGTACACGCCCACCTGGACCTCGAAGGGGGACAGCGGCGCGATGCTCTCGTTTCTGTAGACGAACCTGCAGGACTCCACCGCCGGGACCCTCTGCTCCGTCCAGGCCGCCGAGCCCGCCGGCCGCAGCAGCACCAGGTAGCCGAACTCCCCTCCGCTCTGCAGCTCCTCCGGGATGGACTTGGGCAGAAGCGAGCGACCACTGAGCACTCACAGAAGCACGTTCGAGAGCGACTGCAGAGCTCGGGGAGGGTTGGGCCTACCGCAGAGGCAAACGTGGGTACCCACCCGGGGACGAGGCACCGACAGAATGAGGGTGCTCGTGTTCGGAATGACGCTCAGAAAACGCGCCCGATGAAGATGCTCAGATACATCAAGGACAATTTTAAAGAGAAATGGAAAACGGGTTTTACGTGTTTATATTTCTCCCCGTGATTACTCATAAGGTATCATAATAAAGGGGTTTAGAGGATGGTAACATTGAATAAGTTAAAACATTCTACATTCGTGTTTTGATATGCGTGTTTGAACGCAGCACAAAACTAACTTTGATCGTTCCAAGGCCAGCTACGTTTCCCTTTCATGACATTGTTCACCAATTCTTGTGAGACACGGGCGGGGTCATTACTGTGTGATAACATTTGCTTTAAGACCTGGAACAGAATTACTCAAACCCCAAAGTATAGAGGGCCCGCCAGCGTTGTATAAGCGTGTATCTTCATCAGCAGGCGCATTGGTACACACTTTCCCTGACTTACATCAAACAAACAAACAAACGAACAAACGAGAACTTTGCTGATTCCCACAGGGACCGAGTTCTTTAAAATTTGTTTAAAAGCTAAACTTACTAAAATTACAAAACAAAAATAGATACAAGTTCCCCAGAACCCTACAGATATCGAACGTTATAATCACATCAATGAAACCGAATTTGTGCTTGAATTTAGACAAATTTGCCACCTGTTTTCAAGAAAGTTGCATTTAAGAATCCATGGAATTAATTTTTCCAAAATAAAATGCTTTGCCTTCTTTTTTTTTTAAAAACGATTTTTCACAGACGAATCATCATACCCGCTGGGACCTAACGCTTGAGCATCTCAGGCCCACGACTGCTTCTGCTGTCTCCCTTACCCAGTCCTGTCCCCACTCTCGGTGCCACAGTCCCCTGTGACGAGGACCACACCGGGTTGCCAGCCGTGGGCACTGGCAGCAAAGGCGCCATCCCGGTCAGCTCCGTGAGACGCTCTGGTGAGAATCCGTGTATTCTGCAGGGACTAACAGATCCCGTCAAGCCCTGTGCCCTGCAGGGCGCGGCTGTGACACAGGTGTGGGGGGAACAGCAGACACTTAGGGCAGCGGTCAGTAGAAAACACACCGGAGCCGTGATCTGAAGCTGGGGAAGCAATGAGTAAAGCTGTACGTTAGAGGAAGAAGATCCGATGGAGCCGTTGGCCAAGGAGGACCCTGGAGGTGAAGGGAATGGGCAGAACTGAGCGACAAGCACGGGGGACACCTGGGACTGGCCTGGGTCCCCGGGGCCGGTGGCCGGCGGGCTCCCGGGCTCAGGACAGTGATGAGTGGCGTCTCGGTTCCCCACCTGCTGCCCCGCCTGCTTGGCTGCTGAGACCCTTCCAACCCCATCGCTTTCCACAGGCCAGACCACGAAGACAGACCCCGAGGGGAGGAGAGAAACCGCGGGTCCCGAGGCCGGGGCGGAGAGGCGGGCTCGCGGGCTCACGGGCTCAACGGCGTCTCGGTTCCCCCCGCCTGCTGACCCGCCTGCTTGGCCGCTGAGACCCTTCCAACCCCATCGCCTTCCGCGGGCCAGACCGACGAACACGGACCCCGAGGGGAGGAGAGAAACCGCGGGTCCCGAGGCCGGGGCGGAGAGGCGGGCTCGCGGGCTCACGGGCTCACGGTCTCGCCTCCCCGGGAGCGGAACGTGGCCGCCTCTGAGCAGCACGGAGGACACCGCGGAGAGCGGGAGCCGAGCACCTGACTGCGGCTCGATGCCGCGGAGTTAGGCCACCTGGCCGCTCCTCCGAGAAGTAGAGGACTTCTGCTTTTGTGAGTCCAAGCGGTGTCTGTCACGACGTTGCCTCAGGAAGAGCAAACGTGTGTGTCGTTTAGGAAAAAAGAGACTCGGGTTCTCTGTCGTCAGGTGGGCAGAGGGCGGGCGGGGGACAGAGTTTCTCCCTTAAGCACGGGAAGCGTCCAGTCGTGTCCGTGAATCTGGGAGTTCTTCTGGGAGGGACACCCATCGAGTTGGACAAATTTGATAATATGCAGCTCACCACGGTGTCTGTGAGAACCAAACCTTCAGTTCACACCGAGAGTCAGCCCTCTCGGGACTTCAGAGCCAGCCTGGTCTGTGGCCTCATTTTGAAAACACAGGTTTCTGGGAACAGAGTCACAACCGCTTCTTGACATAGGGCCTCTGGCTCTTTCCAAACGGTGAAGGCCGGGCCGAGAGAGGCTCTGTGGCCTGCAGGGCTGAGTGTTTCCACTGGCTGCTCCTTTACATAAAAGGTGTGTCGGTCCCCGTGTATCTCTGCGTGTCTCTAGCTCATAGTATTTTATTCCACGTGCCTAATTTTCCAGGCACGTTTTATGAGGCATGAGGCACAAGGCCCTCGCACTTGGGAGCGCTGGGGAGTACGTATCAGGAGAAGATATGAATAAAGAGACCCTTTAAAAAATTAGCAGTTACTACATTCCAAAAATTAGGTATCACGTCTAGGCTATCGGCAGCAAAACGAACAAACAGGAAACGCACGTTACTGGGGCACCGGAGGCAGGTCACGGCACAGTGCACTTACAGGACCAGCGACTAGGGCCGGCTGGCAAAGCCGTCGCTGATGACCATCGGGGTGGGCTCCGACTGAATTCAGACTGCTGGCTGGTCGCTCACTCGTTTGTAAAAACCAGTGGGTATCTCTCCGTCCACAAAGCAGTGACTTTGGCCCTCCCAGGCCTCTCCAGCCCCAAGTTCTTTTCCAAAGCGTAGCCTGGCTATGCCGTGACGGTGCCTTCCCTGACCTCCTTCCAGGCCGGGTCAAGGCCTTCGGACCGCTTTGAAATTCATTTCTAGTGCCCCCACTGCTCGGCACAGAGCGTTCATGGAACTGGAAGGGTTACTACATGCCTTCTGTGGCTGAAAGTAATGCATGCATCTCCGCCTAAATCCGCACACGACATGAAGAAGCTCAGGCACCAGAACAATCTGGCACGGCGTCCGTGTGTACGTGATGCCAGATATGAATGACAAGTGGGAAACCGCATCCAAGAATGGAGTTTCTGCAAGATGTTGCGTATCTCGATGTTCCAAGGAAAAAAAAAAAGAAAAACACATGGGGGAAACGCTTTAATTTTTTAAAAATAAAGGTAGCAAACTTTTTTCGTAAAGGGCCAGAGAGTCAACATTTCGAGCGTCAGGGGACTCATGGTCTCTTGCTGCGGCATGAAAGCAGTTTTCGTGCGTAACTTGAAGGAGCAGGCACGGTGGCAGGTGACTGTCTATGGAAACACGGAGCAGGCCAGACCCAGCCCCACACCGTGATTGAAAGAGAAAGGACAAAGCAAACCGTGGAAAGGCTTTTCTTTGGGTGAGTCACAGCATCTCTGCTTAAGAGCCACACACGCAGGTTTCCTCAGCCCTTCACAGAGAGATTCTGTACATGGCAGCGTTTACTGACCTTTTGTCATTTCGGACCTCGGAGGAGAAAAGCGGAGAAAAACAGCACTGAGCCCGGTGATGAAATGCTCACGTGGACTCCGAGGAATCGCGACCCCCGCCCGGCCTGGTCGCCGTCCGCCTGAGCGGTCGGGCCGCAGACACGCCCCATTCTGAAGGCGATGCGCTGGGAGACGGGGCTGACCTGCCCAGCTCTGCGCTGAAGGCCGGTCATGGGACGCCCACCTGCCCCGAGTGTCATAGTTTAATTGTGGGCATTTTTCTTTCCTAGTGCTCCTTAAAATGAATGATACGCGTGTCCGCCCGCGGACGCCTCGGTCTTCTTACCGGGAAGTGGCCTCGCCCGCCCTGGACTCGGCACCGCTGTGCGGGTGCAGACTGCCCGGCAGCCCGCAGCCCGTCCGGCTCCGCGGCAGGTGCTGCCCCCTCTCGGCCCAGCCCCCAGCCCCCGGGCGGCCGCCCAGCGGGGCCCGAGGGACCCGCGTCACCTCCAGGCACCACGTGGGCCCATGAGGTCCCCGTGGAGCCGAGTGTCCAGGAGAAAGGACACCTGCTCCCTGAGCCCACAACGCGCGGCCTCGGGACGGTCCCCTGTGGTGTAGGGACGGAGCGAGGCCACTGCTGTGTCCTTCACGGACTCCCGCGGTGGCTAAAACGGGCCGTTTACAGGCGGCTCTCGGAGACGCCGCTGGCTTCGCTGCAGACCACTGCAAGGAGTGGATGTCACAATAAAGTTCCATGGACTGTTGGTGTCCCAGCGCCCACGAGAGTGACGCTTACACCGCACTGCTGTCGCGCGAGCGTGAGCAGCGTCACGTCTATGAAATGCACGACCTTAATGAAAACGGACTTTACTGCTAAAACCGCTCTCCATCCCCTGGGCCTTCAGCACGTCCCGTCCTGCACTGCTGGGGGTCCGGCCCGGATGGTCTCGGCTGCCGGCCGGTCAGGCTGGCGGCCGCTGCGGCCGGGTGGTCGGCGTTTTCTTAAAGACACCGGCGAAGTTCGCCACGACCACGCTCCCGTTCATCCACGCTTCTCTGCGGCTCGCGATGCGGGTCGACAGCATTTCACCCGCAGCGGAGCGTCTGTCACAGTCCGAGTCCGTCCTCTCCCACCCGGCCCTGCTCCGCCACCTCCGTTCCGTGACACTAAACCCCTCGCCGGCACTTCCGCGGCCTCCCCGGAACCTACTGCTGCCGAACGTCCGCTCAGGCTGACGTCCCGGCCTCGCCCCGTGACCACGAACGATCTCCGGGGCGTCTGGAGGGGGCATCCTGTCCAGAGGTGTCCACTCACCCTGTCCCCTGGAGGGATAACAAGACACGACCGTGGACACGCATCCTCGCCCGGGGCCGCAGGCTGCGCATCATGTCCGCAGGCTGAATCGGCACTGGTCTCGTGGTGACCATCGGAGCCCGTGGTGACCGGGCGCCTCGTCACTGAGCAGGTCTGGCAGACACGGCCCGACGAGACGCGTTTCTCACGTAACAAGACACGACTGTGGACACGCGTCCTCACCCTGGGGCCGCAGGCTGCGCGCCGTGTCCGCAGGCTGAACCGGCACTGGTCTCGTGGTGACCATCAGAGCCCGTGGTGACCGGGCGCCTCGTCACTGAGCAGTGATATTTTTGCTTGACTCGGGGTCGAGCAAACCTTGAGTTTGTAAGCAGCGTGACGCCTGTGGGCAGGATAGCTCACCGCGGAGAGACGCGGTGTGCCCGTGTGCTAACGGCCTTGAGCCGCCGTAAAGCCATCTTCAGGTGTGATGATGACTCTCACGAGGCCAGGCTTCCCGGCTTGGCGTCACCGACGTCGGGGGCCAGACCACCCCCGGCGGCCGTCCTGTCCTGTGCAGAGCAGGCTGTGCAGCAGCTTCCGGCGTCTCGCAGACACCCCTCTGTCCCCCGCCTCGGCTGTGACACCGGACGCCGGGGGGAGGGGCGAGCTGCCCAGCTCCCCATGAGGCCGCCGTTCCGCCAGCCATGGCCATCCGTACTCACGGCACACAGAGCACGAGGTTTAAAGCTGCAATATTAAAATGGCCAAGGAAGTGGATGTTTTGGCGCTATGGAAGTTGTCACCTGTGTCGAGAACAGGTGTCCCTGGCAGTGAGGTTGGGGGGGCTCTGCTCTCAGTTACGGCTGAGAAGAAAGGTCCAGAGCGCCCGGGATTCCAGAGACGCCAGGCCGTTGCTACGCGGGCCGCCTGCGACGCCTCGCCTGTCACCCGGGACACGCCTGTCATCTCGGACACGCCTGTCACCCCAGAGGGGAAGTGGAGGGGCTCAGAACGTGGCAGGCACGCGGCCTTTCATCTGACAAGGGCCCGAGGAACTTCCAAAGGGGAGAGACACCTGGACGGAGTGGCGGCAGAGAGAAGGAGGCTGAGTGGCATGTGCTGCACGTGCGTCAGACACGGAGCAGAGGACGAATGTGGACGCCACTCCGGGGTGCTGTCCGTGAGGAGCGTGAAGGGACGCCATGCCCAAAGACCGCTCAGGGGTGACAGATGTCCGCCAGCAGCGGCTGGACATCGGCCCCAGGATCCAGGAAGGAGGAGCCACTCGGGGCTGCACCAAGTCCCCAGTGGGGGTCCCCTCACGTCCACACTGGGACTCAGCAAAACCAAAACAACATCCTAGGAACACCAGCACCCGGCCATTCGCTATTCCTGGGGTTCACCCCGGCGAAGGGCGGACGGGCCAGCAGTGAGACTCGCCCCGTCTCTCACGTCTCCTCCCGCCCCCGGGCAGCTGCCACGGCGGAGCTGCCGGTCACAGTGCACAGGGCAGGGGAAACCGAAGAGCGAGCTGGACAAAAAGCACAGCCCGCCGCGGCCTGCCCTCCACGCCGTGGAGCTGCTCGGCCCAGGACGGCCTCAGCTCCCGAAATGGGAAACTCTGCTGGTTGAAAGTCTAAGGTTTGTAATAACAGACCAGGCTGAATTTTTTAATAAGTATAAAATGAGGCCGTATGTCAATTACTTGAGAATAACGCCCATAAAAACTATCCCACCTGCCCAAGCTTTCGCCTAGGTGCGTGGAAGAACAAACTGGAAGGATTTAGACAGCAAAGATAGGAAAATCGTTTTCACCCGTACTTTTCTGAGACTAACGTATGCACGAGAGAACAGTTCCAGATGCGATGAACAAAATCACGTGCAGTTCAGCAAGTAACAATCAAAACACTCCTGACCCACCTCCGACGGACGCAGAAGTTGTTTTTCTTATTCTTGGAAGAGAACTGTACCGAGTTAGTCAGACCCCCTCACTTTAGTATAAATAAGAAACGTTTCCAACACCTCTGAAGAATGCATCATCGAGAGTTGTCCGTGCCATGCATTTTTACGCACTCATTAATGATCAAATAAAGCTTTTTGTTTTTCTGGACTCTTCCTGGCCAGCTAAACCTTCTTCCTTCAAAATAACCCGGTTGGACAGAACATTACCTCCCACGTGATGACGAGTTCGGAGCGACCGCCTCCACCTCCGTCGACGTTTGTTGGTGCCACGACGGGGACTAGAAACAACCAAGAGAAACGAAAGTGCGTCTTCATCGGGAAGAGTTTCATTGTGGGTCTCACCTTTAGAAACCTCACGCAGGCACATAGTGAGAGAGTCTTGAGTTTTTTAATGAACATAAATGATGTTTACCCATTTCCAAATTTCTAAGTGAGAGGACACAGTCATGTTTGATACATGAGCACCCTGGCTCCAAAATTAATTAAAAATCAAGTAACATCATGTATCTGACATTATTATGCATCATCTACTAATTGGCAAAATGATGTTCCATTCAGATGGTGGCAGTGACTCCGCTGATTTAGTGCCTAATTATACAGTTGTGCTGTAAACAAGTTGCTGAGCCAGTGTAGTAATTAATTCTTTTTTTTCCCCCCAAAACGGACCCAAATTATTTTTCTTTCTGTTAGTCATCGAGATACTTGAACATTTAAAAATAAATTCCTGAAAACGCATAAGTAAATAAGTTCCTGTGGCATGACCCCGTGTTTGATTCTCACGTCTGTCAACACAGCACAGATGGACTTCCCTCTAACTTCTCTCCCAAAGGAAGGAGAAGGTCTCTCGCCGAGGATGTGGCCGAGGGCGTTCTCTCTGTTTAACTCTAGGGCCCTATGGCTCAGTGGTAGAACATTCTGGACACTGACCATTTTTACAAATTAGATAAAAGGCCCTTCCACTACATCCTCGGGAGAATTAATACAGTGAGTAGTACATACTTCGAGGGAAGTTGTGAAACTGACGACGATCGTGCGTGTGTGTGGGTACTGCAGGGTGTGATCGGAAGGCACACGTACTTTATGCCGTGGAAGTGTTAAAAAGTCTTCTTTTTCCTGACCATGACAGAAGTATCCTAAATCTGTGACGATGGATAAATCTGTAGGCTATCCTTTTTCCATGTTGAATTACATGCAGTTATCTGTATTTGAACAGTTGTGATCAAAATGGAGTACCTGGGCATGCTCGTTGACTAGTGGGTGGAAAATAATATGTGTGAGGTTTAACTGCTCACTTCAAAGTTTTCTCCCACGGTGGGGACCGTACAGCAACTCTAGACTGATCGTTCCATTTATTCCGTATCGTGCAGATGTTTACCACTATAAATGACATAGTTATATAACAATCCAATTGCTCTTTTCCATAGTACCCGTCAGACATCATCCATTTTCATATTCAAATTTACCCTGTCTGTTTTGATCTCCGTAATTTATTTAGAAGATCACCTCGCGCCTGCACCCTACATTCTGAGTTGTCCAAGGCCTTTGGCTCAAAGCAACATGAATCAGCGTGGACTCTGCAGCGTCAGGGTTTCTGGTACCCAGCAGCTTACGGCGACACTATTTCAGGACCATTAAGTAGTTTAGATACAGAAGGAAATTATTTAAAATTGCCCTTTACTCTTTACGAAGTTTTCCGTATTCTGGCAATAAAGTTCTTTCCTTTTTCGATTTTCAAATGAGCCATATTAAATCTAAAACCATGTCGAGAAGAATTATCTTTGAGCATACAAAAGAGAAAAAAACCACACTTCCCTGGGGATTGGGGCCTCGGTATTTGTTAGGTTCCTGAAACGAGGGTCAACGGTCAACAGGTGACATACAAACGCTCCTGTGAAAACGTCGGACCCCGCCTGCCTCAAGCTACCATAACGTAAATCAGTCGTAAACAAAAAAGCCAAAACAGACGCTATGTCCGCGTGAGCCGTGGCCTGTCTTTGCACGGTCCCCCGCTCCAATCCCTTGCTCGTCTAGGTCACGGCCACGGTCGTGGCAAAGGCTTGTGCCCGAGTCCGCGGGTCGGGGATCGAATTCTGACTCTGTCCAGAGACCCAGAGGACATCGTCGCCCGCCTCTCCTCCCCCGGGGAGCGAGGCTCCCTCCCCCGACTCTCAGCTTCCAGGGCGGTCGAATTTAAGGTGCTGTGGTTGACTGTGTTGTTTTGCAGCGCTAACCCTCTGATAAAAACACTAACGTCATCGCTGGTCTAAAGAGCGGCTTATTGGCATCCGGCAGCCGTGCATACGCTACTGCAATAGTGTGTGCCTGTCACACGAAGCCGGCGGCCGCAGAGCGACTCCTCACTTACACGGTTGAGGAAGAAAGAGGGTGAATTTTGAAAACCCCGTGCAGCGAGCGAAGCCAGTGTCACCCCGGACGTGAACGCTTAAGCGTGGGAGGAAGAGGGCCACTGGGAAGAGCTGGAGGAGCTGCGGTTTCGAGGCTGGCGTCACGGGCGGCCTGCCGCTCAGTGACCCCGCTGATGCTCCGTGGGCGCTTCTGCGAAAGGAGCTTAGGATCTACCTCGTCTGCGTGGGGAAGAGTGTGCGCTGTGGCTCAGTGAAGCTGCAGGTGCTTCCGAGCTGAGAAATGGATGGAAACGCACCGACGGCCTCGATTAATCCCCGGCCGCGACAGTGACACTATTTCAGGACCATTAAGTCGTTTAGATACAGAAGGAAATTATTGCGAGCCGCGGCGCACCTGCATCTACAGATCTACGGATTCTGTGGGGTTTGGGCTAGACAGAGATGCGATGGGGGGCAGCTTCTGGAAATCTCCTGTTTTTACATGTCTACTGAGCTAGGATCATCGTTATCGAATGCACTGCTTGGGGGGACTTACACCTTCTTCTCTGCATGTAAAAAGATGCACGTTGAGACACTGGCCTGTTGCCTCTGGTTTCAGGCCAAAAATCTATGAGACTCTCCCTTTGTTTTCTGTAAGAACCATGCCCCAGAGCCTCCCACGCTTGCAGACGCCATGGATTTCTTACCCGACGCTTTGGTTCTTAACGGTTCTGAGGATTCACTTGGTTCTCCGATCCCAATGCTGTTCCCAGCGACAACGCGGAATTCGTACTCAACCCAGGGACTCAAACCAACCACGGTCGCGTTGCGTGTCTTACCACTGAGGATTTCTGGAACTGAAACGAAGGAGACTCTTCAGCGGAGAACACGGCACCGAGTAAAAACGATTCACGACGCGATCGAGCAGATCCACCGCGTGCTAGGGAGGCATCCGAAACCCTCGCGCCACTTACCCGTAGACACGGCCTGCCAGCCCACGGAAAACGGCGTCCGAGCCTGCACAGTAAACAGTTGAATGGGACTGTTGTTGTCTGCGCCTGGCCTCCAGCTTAGTTGAGAAGTGGTGCTGGAAACGTGCTCCACGCTGACGTCCTCGGGAGGACCCGGGGGGCCTTGGAAAGCACAGTTTACGATGACTATATTGGAAATTACTAAAGTCACTGATTCGGGACGGGGAGAGTTTATTTTTCTGTTATGCTTAGAAAGTAAAATATTGAACATCATGTCTTTTTAGCACTTTCTTTGAGATAAAGCCCTATTAACTCAGCTGACGTGGTGAGAGATTCATTTAGAAATGCTCGCTTTGAAGATTAGGAAATGCCAGTCGTGGGATGCTTGAGTATCATCCGGGAAGACGCTAATCTCGAAAGCCGAGGATCATTCTCGTCCGTTCCTCTCTCAAGAGCTAACTCGAGTAAAAGCAGGCGACATGGAGAAGGCCAGAGACAGGGCCTCTGACGCTTGTCTGGCAGGAATAGCTGATTATAAGCAGAGGGCATGTCTAAGTTTTAGGGACTGATACTTCTGGGTCTGACCGCGCCGTATAAATAGACGGAACCTACTCAATTCAACATCCATAGCCATAGCGGCCATACTCGGGAGTCTTGGAGTTTAAAAAACAAATCTGTGCTATTTATCTCGCATCTTTATCACGGCGTGGTTATTCAGAGACCTGCCGTGTACGCGTAAACATTTCCGACAGTGAATAACACGCACTCGTTTATTTTCTCGTTTACGCTCACCTCTAACAATGACATCAGCCGCAGCCGACAGACTTTCTAGAGTTGTTTTTACCGCACAAAGATATTTTCCTGAATGATTCAGCTGAATATTCCTTATCATCAAATCTCCAATAGATTCCTGCAGACAGAAAGGGACAAGGGATAAAAGAGTGAACGCGCCTGGCAGATCCCATTTTTTTGGAGCTGGATAAACACTAAATATGAGACAGCTGTGGCGTGAGGGGACACGCTAGAATCACTGTCATCTCTCATATCGGATCCTTTTTATTATAACTGCATCTAGAACACAGGCATTTCCCTGAAAGACATAAAACAAAACAAAACAAAACAAAAACAGATGCGGCTTCGTAAACAGACAGCGATTATCCCCCAAATCAATATGGGGAGAATAGTTACGAAATGATGATTCACGCGGATGACTTGCTTTAACTTCTTAAGCACTTGAAACTTTCGGCGACTTACTCCTCCAAGCCTTTCGAAATGAGCCACTTCCTTTTTCAAGTCGATGACGTGTCCATCGAAAGACCACACAAACGCAACTTCCACAGAGGGGTCGTGGGACACCTGGCAAGGGAGCACTATGCTCTCGCCCACGGTGACGTCCATCGGGGCGGGCGGGACAGTAATCACGGTCCGCTCTGATGAGATAGAATGTCATTGTTACACAAGCTTGCGAAATGCTAGCCTAGGGCCACCTAACGCGATCCGAATGGCTTTGCAATTGTATAAATGCACCTTGGAATTCTGCTATGTCCCATCTACAAAAATTCC